GCTCGATGCTTAAAAGGAGTTTCATCACTAAGTTTGATGTGATGTCTCACTTTATCCGTATGACCATAATCCATGTCATGTAAGGCAAACACCTCAGGCATCGTGTTCAATAAACCTGATATTCGGGTCCTCCACTCTGCTGGTAAAGGGGAATTACCAAAATCAAACATTATCTGTGAGCTGCCAGAGTTCAATTGAGTCTGAGGAGCATCATGTCTTGGCTGTGTCTCAATCACGCACTGAACTGCATACATTTCAGCGATCACAGCTTTTGGTGGAACAGCAATGTCAGTCTGGGTGTCATTTCTCACCACTACAGGTAAACTATAACAGCATTTAGCAGGCAAAGTGTATAGTCCGTTAGCCACTAATAATCCGCCTGGCATACAAGACATTCCTGGCTGCCCTAGTGTTGTCAAGTTTTCTGGAGAACGGCGACTTAGATGAATAACTCCATCAAGAACAGCTACACTCCCTGCTGACACAATTTTAGGAGTAGTTCCCTTCAAAGTTACACATCCCAGAACTTCAGTGCTCATTTGCTTGTGTCTGACATCCAGAATTTTGAGTACTGCTCGATATCCATTAAAAGCTGGGTTGAGGTTTCCTGGGCTTTCTTGAGCATGGTTCGCATAAAGAGCATCCAGGGAATTGGTTCCCACAAGGACTTGGGGCACGTTCATTAAATCAGGGACCACTAGAGCTAATGTGGTAACTTCTGCTTTTACTCCCAAGAACTCCTTAGGAAACGTCAGAGTGAGCTCTACACAGCCTAAGTAGGGAACTGACTGCCCATTTGCTCCCTCCACTTCTAGTAAAGACTCAAGTGACTTCATAGGGTGATTAGATAGATGATCGTGGTAAAAGGAAAGTGGAATGGTGGTTACTTGGGAACCTGTATCTAGCAAACAATTCACTGAAGTTCCTTCAATAAACAACTGGGCAGTACACTTCATTCCAACCAATCCTCTTGGTAATTTTCTCTGCATTACTTCTTCACAACACTTGTTGAATACTCCTCTAAGTTTGTTAGGGCATGTGGGTCTTTCCTCAGTTTCTGTACGCCCTGCTACAGAGACTGATTGGAGTTTAACCGTGGGGATGCAACTCTATTTTTCAGGTCCCAATGAGCCTGTTTCTCCCTCAGCTGACGTTGTTTGCTTTCTACTTTGGCAGGATTTGGATCATTTTCACAATGTATGGCGATATGACCGTCTTCTCCGCAGCGAAAGCAGTAGCCTGGACGAGGTCGAGCCAAGATTAATCCATCAGTACTGACTGGTTTACTCTCTTCCAGTCTAGTCTGCTTGGGCTGTGACATAGCAGAAGGGCTCCTGAACACGGATGTTCTTCCTGGCTGATGTTTCTGTGATTCTGAGACAGTTAATTGAGCTTTTAACTTTGCAACCTGTCTTGTTAATTCATCAATTTCCTCAGCTTCTGAGCTTCTGTTCTGGACCTTTGGGGAAACCGCAGCTTCCACAGTTTGAACCTGGGCTCGTAGTTCAGTCAGTTCTTTTTTCAGCGAAGTCACATCCACCACTTTGGGACAAGCGGGCTGGCACTTCTGGTGAGTCAATGATTGCATGGAGGCAAGTTGGGCATGAATTTCTGATATTTGTTTTCTCATGGAGTCTGTTTCAGGGGCTGCTCCGCTGGCTACCTCATGTGAGTGAGCAGACAACTGATGAACTGCGGCTCGTGACTTAGAAGGGGCTAGACCTTGTTTAGTCATCCCAAAATGACTCCTCATCCGATCCTCCTTTGAAGCTTGCCTGCCTTCCTCCGTCCCTTCAACGTTACACATCCCAGAACTTCAGTGCTCATTTGCTTGTGTCTGACATCCAGAATTTTGAGTACTGCTCGATATCCATTAAAAGCTGGGTTGAGGTTTCCTGGGCTTTCTTGAGCATGGTTCGCATAAAGAGCATCCAGGGAATTGGTTCCCACAAGGACTTGGGGCACGTTCATTAAATCAGGGACCACTAGAGCTAATGTGGTAACTTCTGCTTTTACTCCCAAGAACACCTTAGGAAATGTCAGAGTGAGCTCTACATAGCCTAAGTAGGGAACTGACTGCCCATTTGCTCCCTCCACTTCTAGTAAAGACTCAAGTGACTTCATAGGGTGATTAGATAGATGATCGTGGTAAAATGAAAGTGGAATGGTGGTTACTTGGGAACCTGTATCTATCAAACAATTCACTGAAGTTCCTTCAACAGACAACTGGGCAGTACACTTCATTCCAACCAATCCTCTTGGTAATTTTCTCTGCATTACTTCTTCACAACACTTGTTGAATACTCCTCTAAGTTTGTTAGGGCATGTGGGTCTTTCCTCAGTTTCTGTACGCCCTGCTACAGAGACTGATTGGAGTTTAACCGTGGGGATGCAACTCTATTTTTCAGGTCCCAATGAGCCTGTTTCTCCCTCAGCTGACGTTGTTTGCTTTCTACTTTGGCAGGATTTGGATCATTTTCACAATTTATGGTGATATGACCGTCTTCTCTGCAGCGAAAGCAGTAGCCTGGACGAGGTCAAGCCGAGGTCAATCCATCAGTACTGACTGGTTTACTCTCTTCCTGTCTAGTCTGCTAGGGCTGTGACAGAGCAGAAGGGCTCCTGAACACGGATGTTCTTCCTGGCTGATGTTTCTGTGATTCTAAGACAGTTAATTGAGCTTTTAACTTTGCAACCTGTCTTGTTCATTCATAAATTTCCTCAGCTTCTGAGCTTCTGTTCTGGACCTTTGGGGAAACTGCAGCTTCCACAGCTTAAACCTGGGCTCGTAGTTCAGTCAGTTCTTTTTTCAGCGAAGTCACATTCACCACTTTGGAACAAGCGGGCTGGCACTTCTGGTGAATCAATGATTGCATGGAGGCAAGTTGGGCATGAATTTCTGCTATTTGTTTTCTCATGGAGTCTGTTTCAGGGGCTGCTCCGCTGGCTACCTCATGTGAGTGAGCAGACAACTGATTAACTGCAGCTCGTGACTTAGAAGGGGCTAGACCTTGCTTAGCCATCCCAAAATTACTCCTCATCCGATCTTCCTTTGAAGCTTGCCTGCCTTCCTCCGCTCTGACAGACACTACAAGTTCAGCGAAAGAAGGTGGGTTTATTCTTTCTCCCTTCCAGCTGAAGACTGACAATTAAGCCGCTATCCCAGCACCCACGACAGAACTGCTTCAACAAACACCGATCGCGCTCCCTTTCTGCAATGCCACCTCTCCTCACTCCTGCACTTAACATCACTTGTAATCGATGCAAGTAGCTGGAAGGCTTTTCTCCCTGATTCTGCAACGTCATCATGAACTTTGCCAGCAGCTCCTCCCCGTCCTCCACTGATCCATACACCGATTCCAGCAACTCTAAATAGAACCCTCTACATTGCGAGTAAATCACTCGCATATGCGACTAAATCTTACTCTGGGCGACTAAATGATGTCTAATATTAGCCAATGGCTAATAAATTCTCAGATTTTACTCGCCAGTGTGTGAGTTTGAGGTTAAGTGTAGCACAGATATATTTTCACTCACAGAACACTCTGACTGAGCGCTTTAGAGTTTCACTCAACGTCAAGCGATCTGTGCTGTATGGATGTGCAACGCACCTGTATTTAACGTACCGTAAACTCTAGTGCGAAGGCGCACGACTCCCCGTCGCTTTGTTTCACACACACGCAGAGAGAGAGAGAGAGAGAGAGAGAGAGAGAGAATTGACGCGCTACATGTAAACGATATTCTTTGTTGTATTTTGCTGTCAAATTAACGGAGTTCCTTTGGAATTCTTCAGCCTTGAGAACTACCGCTTTCTCCGGTAGTGGGCGGAACTAATGCGCAAACGGCAATCTCATTGGCTGGCGCTCACCTATTATCATATCTGTTTTGATTTCAGCAAATCAGTTCCAGCGAACGCACACAACCTGATTAATATAAAGTTCCATCTCTATTTTCTCCCATTCTCTGTGATGTGGCGGGTGACCCATGATCATTGAATGAACTGGCAGTGCTGAGTCCCCGAGTTTGAGTGTCCGCTACATGACAGCTGGGCAACTGTTCAGTGGTAGGGCCAACTGACCTCATCTTTACTAACTCCTCTTGAAGCACTTCTTCAAAAGATTTGCCAGTAACATTAGCAATGGCTTTCAATTTTGCCAGATAGCCCTTAGTAGTATCATCTTTAACTACAGGTGAGTATACACTGCTTAGGGCGGTGTGATCAGTCTTGGCTGGTCCCTGAAGCGTACGATAACACCAGTGTGATTAGAACGTTCAGTGCATCACGTTATCAAATGCTGAATTTAAATCCGCTTTCGCGCTCTGGCTAGCGCGAGCCAGATCGGACACGCTGAGTGCTTGTCATATTATCACAAATATTCAGTGTTTTCAACCATATAATGCTTATTTTAGGTTTCAGACATTTAAATACATATACTAGCAAAACCATACATTTATAGTTTGTAAAATACGTGCTGATTTCTATGGAAATGGCAATAATGATCATGTTTTTATTGATATCATATACAGATTGTGTAGGTAACTATAAAGTTTACTCTGCTCTTCTCCCAGTTTACCGGAGACCTAATTTAACGTGTTTCGGGAGGAGAGGATGAATTTGTGTGTTGTAAATCCCACAGCTCGGTTTTCAACAAGGTAAGTTCTTTGTTCGTTCACTTTAACTCAGTAGTTGATTCACCCAAATAAAGGTTGAATATGAACACTTATGTTAGCTTTGTCAACTTTTTTTTCTTTTTAGATCAATCAGTATTCAAGTATCAAAAACCCAATGTATATATCACAGCTGTCACCACAACAGAAAATTAACACTTCTCAATTAAATAAAATAATGTCCTTCGATCTCAAAACCCTCAATTGCTCAGTCTTTTAAGGAAAACAGTTCTTCAAATAGTCTGTTGAGAGATATAAATGTCTTTTCTCTGTCAATGAGGAAAAAAACGTCTCCATCTGAAAGAGGAAAAAAAAAAGAAAGGTTACTACCATTCGCAGGGTTCAGAAAAACTTGTCTTTTGTTTCCACAGAAAATCCAAGAACAGACTCAAGGGAGGCTCGCCAGTCCAAACCCTCCTCAGAACCACCGGAAGGCCGGGACAAATCCAGAGTGCAGGTACCGGAACATTTTGTCACATCAGACAGAGGACAGTAATCGAATTTGGAAAAGGACAGAACAACAAGGAAAAAAAACCTGACCTTGAACAAACAAGGTCACAAAAATATCATGAATATCTTCATTGTAACAACATACAATAAAGTGCTTAACTCATGAAAGTAAATTAATCACTATACATCATTCATATTACACAGAACTTGAGTATTTTGAATATACGTACATGTATTTTTCAAATAAAGAATGTTTTCTTTATATATGCAATGTCTGTGACTATTTTTCCAACATAACACACTAATTAATATATTACTGACCACTTTTCGTCACATACTTGAGCACACAGTTAGCTGTTATGTACCAAATACAGCATTACACATTTTTTTCATACATAAATCACTCACTCACAATTTTAAATTTCTCTTGCTTTTTCCACTTACACAATACTAATGATTTGATTGGTAACGATTAACAAGGCAAATTGACTTACCAAGGAGATCGTTAAACTCAGAAAATTCCAGAACGGTGCAGGTACAGCACGTCCCCTTTAAATCCTTTTCTTTACCCTTTTTCATCAAAAATACACTCCGTAAACACATTAGCAACACTCTGTCACTAGTAGAGTATATGTATATCACCATACACTTTTATATTTACAAGTTAAATGTCCGTTTCACTCACATTACAATATCAATGTCATTCACCACAAATGGAAAATAAAATGCGTCACTACATTCACATTAATCCATCGATAAAACTCATCTAGAAGATTATTTTCTTTGTTTCTGTTCCCTGGAGCGTCAGCGAACACCTCGCTCCTCGGGCATCCGTGCACGATAGAGAGAGCTGCCTCTGATTCCACGAGCAAACCTCGTGCAAAACCCGGAAATCAATTTTTCCGCTGCGCCACATTCTGCGCTCTCATTGGCCCATCTCAAGTTCAAAACTGATCACTATTGGTCACATTAATAACCAAATAAAAATATATGTTTGTATAAAATGTATATGTCTTTTATGAATATACTTCCAAGTAGTTTTCACATTATTATCTTATTATATTAATAACATTATTTATTTCTGTGTTACTCTCTGGTAATCTTGGTTACAAATTCACAAAGCTGCTGAGACAAACTTTTACTAAGGAATAGAGAGAAGTCTTAAGCTACGAGTAAGGGCGGGGTTGACTTTGTTGCTATGGATGATGTCAGCATGCTTACTAACTATGCACTAGTTCACAGAGTCCGAGACGGCAGAAAGCGCATCCTGTATTGCTTTCATTAATTAACAAAAGCGCAACGTTATGTTGTTATTCTGAGTGCACACGAATAAACAGAGTCTTTACAGATACAAAAGATGCATTGCTCTTATCTGTATGACCAAAAATGACGAAGTATTTTAAGAGCAAATGATCGCACCGGCGCCTCCAGCTGTTATGCAGTAGCCCAAGCGTGCTGCTATTCAGCTTCCACACTGCGCACAAACACGTTAACTGCGCACTTTTTTCTAGGCTAACATTAGATTGAGCTGCCATGTAAAGTTGCTACTACATACATTTTTCAGATGATAAGCCATATTTGAGGTCGCTGAATGTTAGGACTTAGGAGAGCATATGGATTTCCTGCCCGATGTACTATATTACCACATAGACCAGCTGTTAACGATTTGTCCGTCACAGACTTCGTGATTTCGCCACTTCATGTGGAATTTTTTTTTCTGCGACTAAGCGACTAATAAAATTTTGGTAATATGCATATAGGAGCCTTTTAATTAGCAGAGTAGAATAATCATGGCTGATAGTAAGACAGGCCATGGATCTGACCAGCATCATCCTCTCCTTGGCCCACACCCTCAAGGGCCTCAGACGGAAGGTAAATGAACTGAACCTGCAAGTCACAGAGTTCTACAGGGTTCTACCTGCTCAACGAGAGAAAGCACCGAACAGATGCAAGGAACCTTACAGAATGGTGCAACAGAAGGAAATCACCAGTCTTCAGGAGGCGCTAACAGCTGCTGGACACCGAGAGCAGCTTGAAAAAGCCACCAGACAGGACTTGGAAAGAGAACTGTTTCACACAAAATCACTGTTAAAAACAGCATGTGTGGAACTTAATGAGAGAGACACTAGAGTTAAGGCCTTAGAAGGCCATCTGCATGCAGCCAGAGCTGAAGTCCAAACCCTGACTCAGCAATTCTGCAACATTAAAGAGGAGCTTGACACGGTCCAGAAAGAACTGAAACAGTCCTGCCGACTGTGCATGGACTCAAGTAAAAGTCACCCTGCTGCTCGTCACACTGCCAGCAGTGTAAACCCCCTCACCCCTGTACACCGATATGAGGGGGGGGGAGCCAAAGCCTTATGCTTGACACTTCACAAGTCAGTTTCCTGGAAATCTCTGCAGCCGCAGAAGGAAAAGGATCAATTCAGACAAACTCTGAAATGATACACGGAGTGACACTTAAAGACCTCAACCGAATGACCAGAAACATCCCTGCATTCACACCAGAACTTGCAGGAGACCACGACGTCCATGCCTACCTGCGAGACATTAACTTTTACCTGCAGTCTTGGACCAGTGTGAACCGCCAAGATAGACTCTATCTGCTCTGGATCACCTCTAGCCCAGAGGTGCAATGCTTCCTGACTCGACAGCAAGGACACATCCAATCAGACTACCAGCGTCTTAAACAAGCCATCATAAAGGAATTCTCAGACCCAGAGTCTGAACACAGACTGATCACTGCCCTAGACACCAAACAGGGCCGGCATGAAACTCCCCATGGTTACTACCACAGACTTCGACGAGCTTACTTCGGAGCTCGCAATTACCCTGGGATGGAGGAAGACACCAGCTTCAAGAGCCTTTTTCTCCAAAACCGCCATCCTATTGTAAGTCACCATTTAGGCATTATGGCCTGCCCCCACTCAATGCCTATTCAACAACTGCATGACCTGACACAAAAGGCCTTTAACAAGCACAAGGCCTCCACCAAAAGTGTTTGTGAGACCCCACTGATTCTGAACTGCACATCCCAGAATCCAAAGCAGGCACCAGAAGGCACCCAGCATTGCCACAATGCAAGGCCCTTCTGCAGAAAGCCACTACCCAGCAGAGGACAGAGCCATCACCATGGCAACAGACCCAAGTCCCAGACCAACCACTGGCATAAACCATGGAAAAGGCCATCCTCATCCTGCGAACACCACGGTATGTCCAACGACAGTCCCCCACAGCATCCTCCTCAACACCCTTCACACAGGTGCCAAAAGGATGCTGCACAAGGACAGCTGGACACACCTTCTTCTGAGTTACAGGAGCTGCTGACACTAGCAAAATAGCTCCTTGAACAAAACTCAACTGAGGAGTACTGGGAAGGACAAACTTCTGACTCCTTGCCTGACGCAACACGGCATCAGACCCCTCCAAGGGAGGAGCATCCCTTAAAACCGGTCTACACCCCAGAAGCAGCCAGACAACGTTGGATGGAGCAACGGGCCCACATGCCCAACAGCGAAACCTCTACCAACACAACTCAGGCAAGCTCAAGTCGGTGCCGCCACAAGAGCAAGCATCCCTTGAAACCGGTCGACACCCCAGAAGCAGCCAGACAACGTTGGATGGAGCAACGGGCCCACATGCCCAACAGCGAAACCTCTACCAACACAACTCAGGCACGCTCAAGTTGGTGCCACCACAAGAGCAAAGCGACACTGCAAACATCAGATTTCTAGTGACATTCAAGCAAAACAGAGGGCTAACAACCACCTGCTGCCCTCCTGCCATCAACACTAGGTCAGTCTGAAACTCTCTGCACACTACAAAATCTCCATACCAATTCCCTGCAATCCCTGGAACTACCTGCACTCACACCACAACCACTCCTGGAGGCAACAACAGCCAGAGAGCCACCACTGTCTCCCAGCCGTGAGTGGCAGGTGCGTGTCCGATTGTTCTGCACCTTTGACGTCGCTCGCTTTTGTCTATTGGACGGACAACAACATTCGAAAGGGGGGAATTATGTAGTATTTGGACCAATCAGACACACAACTTTTTGTTATATTTAACAAATAATATCTAACGCCCCCTCACCTAACCAAAGGGCCAATTACGAGGGTCTATGGACCCTTCCCCCGAAATACAACTAACACCTTAAAAGGGCAGAACAGGCCTCTGGTTCCATGGCAACCAAAGACAAACCATCTGATAAAACTAGTTTTATTGCTTAAAGGAATGTGGGCAGAGCAACTCTCCCTCCATGTCTCCTAAGGAAAAA